TGATCTTTAAACAATCGCAACAATTAGTTGTAAATTACAGCGATTATTAGTTGTTGTTTTGAATGAGTGGCTGGCTGACTAGTAATGAATGACTAAATATATAGTAATTCATGCACACTAGCAATACTTAGTAATAAAAAACTGAAGTTGTTATGAAAATACGAACTCTCGACTTAATAGTTATTTCATGTGCTTTGGATGCAGTTGTTTTAAATAATTTATTCTTAAATTCAAATGTTTGAAAAAATTTTTTATTAAACATTATTTTTAAAGATTCCAAATCTTAAATTATAGTTTTGAATTCTATTTACGTTTTTTTCGAAATCAAATTTAAATCTATTCTATTTATATTCCAAATTAAGTTGAAATTTAGATAATTGTGAAGTTATTGTCTAAAGTTCAGAATAACATTCCGTGTTTTGTAGTGAGAGCTTCTGTAGTTAAAGCTTAAGCAAAATTTTCATTTGGAATTTCACTCCTTTAAAGTTTTTCTTTCGTTGTTTAATATTCCTAGATTTTTGTATATTTTTTTTTTGTTTGCCAAAGAACGTAATTAGTCTAGATATATTTTCTTACATTTTTTTCAAACTGGTTTCAATGTTCTTTTTTCATTTAATTTAAACAGACAAGCTGTTTATTTTATTCAAATTTATTTTTATAAATTTTTTATTTGCTAAAAAATACTACAAAATATCGATGACATTTGCACTCTAAAACAGACACCGCGTTTTGCTACTGTTGTTTCTATGTTTTTTTTTACTATTAAAATCAAAAATTGTTCACAAAAAAATTTAATAGATTTATGTTCTATTCATAAATAATAAATTGAACATAAATTTAACCAAAAGATCAAAATAAATAAAAGCGAAAAGAACAAAATTCAAATATAAAAGTTCTTTAGAAAAGTCGGTGATAAAGTTAGAAGGTAGAGGGAGACTTTGTTTTAAATTGTGTAAAATGCCGCCGTTTTTGTTAAATGTAAAATAATTGGGAATTAATTTATAAAAAAGGAGGCGAACTAATAGTTTAAATTATACCTTAAAACAGGCGCGGATTCACGGGAGGGAAAAGCGAAAAAAAGTCTATGGAGTAGTCTATTGACTAGTCTATGGTCTAGTCCATTGACTAGTCTATTGTGTAGTCTATTGATTAGTCTATGGTCTAGTCTACTGACTAGTCTATTGACTAGTCTATAGTGTAGTCTATTGATTAGTCCATGGTCTAGTCTATAGTATAGTCTATTGACTAGTCTATTGACTAGTCTATGGTCTAGTCTGTTGACAAGTCTATGATCTAGTCTATTGTCTAGTCTATGGTCTAGTCTATTGTCTAGTCTATTGTCTAATCTATTGACTAGTCTATTGTCTAGTCTATTGACTAGTCTATGGTCTGGTCTTTTGATTAGTATAGTCTATTGACTAGTCTATGATCTAGTCTATTGTCTAATCTATTGACTAGTCTATGGTCTAATCTATTGACTAGTCTATAGTCTAGCCTATTGATTAGTCTATGGGCTAGTCTATTGACTAGTCTATGGTGTAGTCTATTGATTAGTCTATGGTCTAGTCTATTGACTAGTCTATGGTCTAGTCTATTGACTAGTCTGTGGTCTAGACTATTGACTAGTGTATGGTCTAGTCTATTGACTAGTCCATGGTCTAGTCTATTGATTAGTATAGTCTATTGACTAGTCTATTGTCTAATCTATTGATTAGTCTATGGTCTAGCCTATTGATTAGTCTATTGACTAGTCTATTGTCTAGTCTATTGACTAGTTTGTGATCTAGTCTATTGACTAGTCTATGGTCTAGTCTATTGACTAGTCTATGGTCTAGTCTATTGACTAGTCTATTGACTAGTCTATGGTCTAGTCTATTGACTAGTCTGTGGTCTAGACTATTGACTAGTGTATGGTCTAGTCTATTGACTAGTCCATGGTCTAGTCTATTGACTAGTCTATTATCTAATCTTTTGATTAGTCTATGGTCTAGCCTATTGATTAGTCTATGGTCTAGTCTATAGACTAGTCCATGGTCTAGTCTATTTACTAGTCAATGGTCTAGTCTATTGACTGGTTTATGGTCTAGTCTATTGACTAGTCTATGGTCTAGTCCATTGACTAGTCTATTGTGTAGTCTATTGATTAGTCTATGGTCTAGTCTATTGACTAGTCTATGGTCTAGTCCATTGACTAGTCTATTGTGTAGTCTATTGATTAGTCTATGGTCTAGTCTATTGACTAGTCTATGATCTAGTCTATTGTCTAGTCTATGGTCTAGTCTATTGTCTAGTCTATTGTCTAATCTATTGACTAGTCTATTGTCTAGTCTATTGACTAGTCTATGGTCTGGTCTATTGATTAGTATAGTCTATTGACTAGTCTATGATCTAGTCTATGGTCTAGTCTATTGTCTAATCTATTGACTAGTATATTGACTAGTCTATAGTCTAGCCTATTGATTAGTCTATGGTCTATTCTATTGACTAGTCTATGGTTTAGAATATTGACTAGTGTACACAGAAAAAAATTACAAATTTTATTAAGTAATTATATAAATATGTTAAGGATCAATCGACTTTGTTAACAATTTTTTTATTAAAATGTTCGTAAATTGGTCATATTTACAATTTTCCTAAGTTGTCTCAAAATTCATAATAAAAGAAATAGAAAATACAATTGTCAAAAAGTTTTAATTTAAAGAAAAATTTAAAATAATCTAAAATTCAAAAAGGAAATTCCGCATGCAAGATATGAACTAAATGAATAAAAGCAATCTCTAAGGCAACGGTTCCCAAAAGGGGGTCCGCGGACCCCTAGTGGTCCGTAGCAAAATCCTAGGGGGTCCGCGAAGACGAACGAAAAAAATCATGAATAAAAAATATTCTCTATATGTTACAACATATTAAAAATATCTCCAAATTTTTCATAAATACTAAAATACACAATTTTTATTCAATAATCCCAGATTTGTTGGTGACTCTTTGAATTTTATTGTTTCGGTCGTTTATCAGGATGAAGCTAGGCGCTACAAATTTATTGTTTCACTTTTATAAAGTAAAGTATTACGTGATTTGTAATTTTTATAAATATATATGTATCGAAATAAATGTTTTTATAGCAGACGGATAATGATTTGCCTTAGAATTAAATACTGATACTGGTATCCCGGAATATGAAGTTAGGTCACATTTCATAATATTTTTTTAAATTGTAAGCAAAAGTGTTAATCTAGTTAATTTTAAATATAAATATTCCATTCCAACGTGATACACAGATTTTAACTTCATTTTGTTGTCCAATATTATTAAATCAACATCAGAATATTCATAGCGTTTTGCGTAAATAGTCAAAACCACGCAGTAAAATAATTCGTAGGTATTTTAAAATTCAAATTTAAGATCCAAATTCACAGTACATTCGCAAAGAGTTCAGGTCATATTTTATGTGGGTAACGCATTCCGCAACAACATCGAAGAAGTCTAACTTTCACATATTTTCCCGAAAACTTAGCTTACATACTCAGCTCACTTCTATGCAATCGCAAAAAAATTTAGAAACATGACTCTTTAAGCACATGTCGACAATACTTGTTAAAGAAACCTTTTCTCTACCTTGACGAGAAATGAACATGAAAGCTCTCACGATCATAAAATTAAACATCATGTTAGAAGTCATTCTATATTTAAAACCATGAAATTGAAAACATCCCCGAAATACTAAATGTTCTCAATGTACGGGAATATTTTATAGGGTTTATGGACCAGGACTAAGACAATTTTCAGACGAACAATTACACAGTGATACAGCAAAAAAAATGCAGGGGTTCTCATATACCAATTCCATTTCGTTATAGTCCATAGAGTAGGAATTTATTTTTAATTTTTCCCGATCACTTCGTTTAGTTCCTTTTTAAGAGCAAAAGTTGTGAAAAAGAGCTATTTTTGAAGTTTTAACTTTAAAAAAAAATATATGTTTGGTAGTTTGCAACCGATTTTCAAATTGGATATTTTGTTTTAAAGATACAAGTGTTGTCTTTCAACCCAAAAAAATAAATCCAAAATTTATGATTAATGTTTTGGTTACGGCTATTTAAGTAAAAAAACTCACACTTTTTTCACAATTTTTAATTTTCATATGCTCTACGTTGGCCATGAAGCAGTAACTTTAGCTTTTATTACATTTGAAAAAAGGCACATTAAGTTGGGTTTCCAATGATGGTCAATTTATGATAATCGATGAAAAAGGTTATGAGTTGTGCTAAGTTTTATAAAAATATAGCATATTTCTTCCATACAAAAACGTTCATGTTTCTGGTTTTCTTTGTAACAAGTTTAAAAAATGTTTATAAACATTTTTATACAAAAATTAATTTGTATGGAGAAAACCAAAAATTCGAGAAACATGCTATTAGAAAAATTGGCATCGATTTTTATGAAATAACAAGTTTTAGAAACCTTCCTTTATGTGATTCTTCAAGAAAGTAATAAAAGATGAACTCACTACCTCATGGTCAAAGTAGAGCATGATGAAAATGAAAATTTTTTAAAAAAGTGTGAGTTTTTTACTTAAACGACCGTAACTCAGACATTTGACCATAAATTTTGGATTTCTTTTTTTGGATTAAAAGACACATCATTAAAAAAAATATCGGATTTGAAAATCGGATGAAAACTACTAAACTTATGATTTTTCAAATTTAAAACTTCAAAAATGGCTCTTTTTCGCATCTTTTGCTCTTAAAAAGTAAGTTAACGAAGTGATAGGGGAAAACTAAAAATACTTTTTACACTTTTGTATCACAGTGTTATTTATAACAATAAGATATCAAAATATGTATGGGGGTCCGTGAAATTAAATAAATTCCTCAAGGGGTCCGCGAAGTAAAAAATGGTGGGAACCGCTGCTCTAAGGTATGTAGAGTGGTCAAAATACATATTAATTTTTAAATCATAAATAATTTTACCACTTTTAGATTTTTATTTGGAAGAATGATCACCAGTCAGTTCCATAACTCCGCGGAACAAAATGATTTGATTTATGCTTAAACATCGTTGGAAAATATTTCTAAATTGAGTGCTGTGTTGCCTGAGTTTGTTAAAAAGAAATTTGTGGATAAAGTGTGTGAGCCTGGCTTGCTAGTGCAGAAGCCAGCAATCTCCCAAAAGCGACACGTCATCAATCTCCATAATACAACAGCAACACTATATAACCTTCCAAGAAAGAAAGTAACATCGATTCATAAACATTACTCTTTAGCAACATTAATTTTCATGTTCCTGAGGTGGAGACATCCAAGGAAAAACCAATTGCTGTAAATTTAATTTAAAATCCTAAAGCGTTTTTTAATATCTCTCATTTCTCTAGGGAGTGACGGGATTAACAGGAGGCAAAGAACCTACAGCTGCAGGATTGGCTTAAATTATGAAACTTTTCTATGTTAAGGTAAAAATCAATTTGACATTAATACATGTTTACATCTCCTCCCCGTATTCGAACTAAGAAAAATTTATTTTGTGGTCATTTTAGAAAATTTCAATGAACGGCAGCAAAGGTTCGTATTCGTCTGCCTTGGTTAAATCGTGGTAGCAAAGACGAAGTCTTTAAAGAGAGAATTCACCAAGTACCATGTAATAGAGAGAAGGAACATGGACCAGTGGTCTGGGGGAAGTGGTACAAGATTAATATATAATGTAGTTAATCAGTGAATATATATTTTCGATTATTATATAGAATATTACACAGTACATTATAAAGATAAACTTAAAATTTTAATTATTGTCCATTGTTTCAAACTGTATATTTTGACGAAATAAATTGAATATATTTTTTTATAAAAACTAAATTAAAAATGCATTCTTTCATTATTGCTGATAACAATAGAAATATTTAATACAAGAAATTTAATTTTTAAAACATTATTGTGGATAGTTAATAAAATAATTTTTCAATATTACAAACTGGTTGTTAAAAAAATTTTTTGAGTATTAACAATTTTAAGTAACAATTTTTATTTTTGTATTTACAAAAACGATTGTTGGTGCCTTTTCAATTAAAAAATTAATTGTATTGTCAAATTTCGTATTTAATATGACAATTGATTTGTCGTAATTTTTTTCTGTGTATGTACTAGTTTTTTGACTATTCTTTCAAAGTTTATTTAGAAACCTTTCAGTTTTGCCTAACATAAGGAAATCATTTGCAATTACGGAAATTCCTTATTGTCACTTATATCAAGTTACTTGTTTTTTTTTTATCTAGAAACCCCCATTTATGTTGCAATAAAATTATTTTTAATGTTTATTCATTTAATTATATAAATTATATGCGTATTTTTTCTCTATAATTTTTAATTATATAGCATTTTGTGTTTTCAAACTGACTAATAAATAATATTTTTTCTTTATTTTATTTTTAGGTAAGTAACCTTTCCTCAACATTTTGTACATATTTATTTAACACTTGGAGCAGTTTTTCGCATTCAATGCCCATCTGTTAATAATTTTTAATGGCACAATATTTACAAAAAAAAGCACACACACAAAAACATACAACAAATGTCCGTAAGTTATTAACACAATATTTGTTTATAAATTAATGTTTTTGTTTCCTTCGGTGTACAGGTAAAAATTTTGTATTTTAAGATTTATTTCTAAGGTCATTTATTTGGTCATAAATATTTTAATAATTTCATAAACAAGTTTAAATAAATTTCGATTTTAAGGTTAACACTCCTAAATCTTTTAAATTGTTAAATAATTTAATAATGATTAATTAAGGACACAAAAACAAAGGCACGTTCCAAAACAAATAATCCTATGAATTTAAATAGATTTGTAATGAAATCATTATTAAAATATTTATAATAATTTCTTTTCTATTTGCTACTTTATACAGAATTTAAATCATTTCCATCAAAAAAGTTCTTACTTTTCGTCTGCATGTAATGCTTAGTGTAATAAGCATTCATTACTAAGTTATAAAATTACAGTTTCAAAGCTATTTTTATTCTATTTAGTTTTAAAGATTTTTCTGTTGAGATTTTTTAATTGAAACACAAACCAAAAGAAAACCATTTTTCAGTTTAAAATTATGTTTTATTAGGCCTCAGGTTATTTCGATTTTTATTTTATAACTGTATATTTTAGATTGACATGCGATTTTTAAAACAAACCTTGTTACAATTTTTTTTTTGTTGTAGATTGTATTTCATGCCAATATTTCTTAAAAATTTAAAAAATCTTAATAAATTATATAATTTTGGCAGCAATTATTATTTACTAACTAACGGAATTTTTTAAATAATTCATTAATCAAAAATAAAACGGAAATAACTGTAAATAGAAATTAATGTCATTGCGTTTTTCACACCTTGTTTTGTATTTTGTATTTTTTTGTTAAACAAATTCTAAATCATATCAATCACTTATAATCCCCACCTCTCATCAACTGCCATTTAAATAGAGACATGCTTAACTTATTTTAATATGGTTTTAAAGTTTTTTTTTTTTTAAGTGAATCATTTTAATGAGATTTAACTATTTAATATAATTGAAATTCTGGTGTTAAACTTTAGTGGGAAATCAGGGATGGATAATTATTTTAATAGTAAATTTTTGAGAACGGTAATTCTCTTTTTCCACCATTTATTCGCTATAGAAATGAATGAGTTGTTTTTCATGATCTTACACAATATTCAGCTTTCTCGATTATCCAACCCTGCCATGCAGACTATAATTAGTTTATTAATTTCCTTCTAATAACTTAGATTTCTTGTCTATATAAGGGTTGTTTAAACATTTTAATTAAAATTTTATTATTCATAAAGGTGTTATAATTATTATTTGCTAATAATTTAACTTTAATTATGAATAATTAAAAAATTATCTTGTATAAATAAGAAAAACACAATATTTTTATAACAGCAGCTGGGAAAGGGCTTAAAAACTGCATATACATATGTATTTATTAATTGTTTAAAACATTTGTCCAATTCACAATTGGCGTTGTAGCGTTGTATCGTTGTATGCCATATTTTTGTTTATTATAGGTTTGTTGTCGAAACAAAAAAAAGCAATAATAAACGATTATGAATTGAACACAATTAAAACTAAATTTTTAATGAAATTTGCATCACAAATATTTAGCAACATGTTGCCAAATTTTATCAATTTAATTAAGTGGACTTCGGTAGGTTAGTGTTCTAGTCTGGTAAACCGGAGGTGGTGGGTTCGATTCCCACCTGAGGCAATGGTTAAGGAGCGCACAACAAGTCCGATGGAGGTCTAGGTGTATTTCTTCGGATTTTGTGTAACATCCTTTCAAACTATGTTTGTTTAGCAACATGTTGAAGTAAACTTTTTTTTAAATGTTTATTTATATTTGATAATTGTTAACAAAAAATTTAGTCTAACAGCTTCAAACATATTTCATCGTATGATTTGTATGACTTATCTATTGTATTTATTCATCTATTGTATCATCAGCAACATGTTGCCAATAATAAAATATTGTTTTTAGCAAAATATGTCCCTTAATTATACACCACTATAGCTGTGAGAGTGTTAAGCGTTTGTGCTGATGTTTGTAACACCCACAAATATTTGTCCTACACCCACCCTAAAGTATACCAATCGGCTCTGAATCACTTGCTGAGTCGATTAAGCTATATCCGTCTGTCTATCCGTGTAAACCTTGTGCGCTCGCTACAGGTCGCAATTTTCAAAATAATTTGATGAAATTTGGCACATACTATTCTTTTGAAGAGAGGACGAAGCCTATTGATTGAAATCGGTCCATTATTTCGATTAGCCCCCATACAACCGTACCCTCCGAATAAGACTTTTGAGCTTATAATTATGTTAAATCTCGTAGAATCTCTACGAAAATCGGCAAATCTTAGTCTTCTATAAGTTTAAATGATACTGCCGATTTTCGTAATGATAGGGCCTCATTTAGCCCCCGTACAAAGTCTCTTTCAGAAAATGTCTTGAAGGTGGAAAGTATCACATTGAAATTCTGTATAAATAACTTCAATGTCATCGTAAATCGCTCTACCAAAATATATACGGATATGACCATATTTACCTTTGCACCCATATAACCCCTCGTTCAGAAAAATACTTTTTTGGTAACAAACCCAGCAAAAAACGAACTTCCAAAGAAGCGAAAAAGAAGTAGAATTTACTCTATGACAGTACTGAAAAAGACCTGGAGAAGTAATGATTTTAACACAGGCATGTCATAGGATGTCATTATTTGATTCTAAATTCACTACTACCGAATTTATTCTCAAGAAGTAATTATTATGTTCTTTTTTTGGAAGTTATTTGGAACTAAAATTCTAGCATTATAGAATACAACTAATTTGACTTAAACAATATGGGGAAATAGGCTTCTTCTGATGTCATTAAACTTCACTTCCACAAAAGGTGGAAAAATTCACTTAGTGCTACTTTTGAAGTGGTGATAAATGTTATTCTTTTGGAAGTATGTACTTCGTTTTATTTATAATGGGAATTGTTAACAGATTTCGGAATTAAGGAAAAATGCTTTATTATTAGAAAAATAATTTACATCTTTAACGTACACACTGGTGTAAGGTATCATAAGTTCGGCCATAACCGACTATACATTCTTATTTGTTTTTGTTTTTTTAATATTTGTCTATTTTTTTAGAAATGTTATTTTTTCTAACAATACGTATGTACATATATAGAAACCTGAAGCTTTGTATACAACTATCAGCAACATGTTGCTAGTATTACAAGGCAATATATTAATTGTCTTGCAACATACTTATTTCATAATCATTCTTTTTTAATTTCTGCATATTTTGATTATCATGTTGAACAACTTTATCTTAAAAAACAGGACTTTAGCAACATGTTGCTAATGCTTTATAATTAAATATTACAACAAAAATGTATAGATAACTAATTTTTTCTTCAGTTTTAAACAACTTAATCGTGTTAGTAATATAGTTCATAAATATTTACAATTTGTTATGGTCACCTGCATGGTTAAAGCTCAAACACTGGTTTTTCTATTAACAAGCTCTCTTGTCAATGTAATGAGTTGTTATCTGATCTTTCAAAAACTAAATTGATTAATTAATATTCTCCACTCCCAAAGCGATAATACGAACATGGTCACATAGAAATTTTCAACTTTTGTGTAAAAAAAAAGACACACACAATCTATCTTAATCAGCTGTAAGTTTTTTTTATTCAGGTAATACTAGACGCATTTCTTTATGAAAAATTACTTTATTTTTTTTAAGAAATTGTTTTTCTATGAACTTTTGTTTTTATTGAAACTTTAGACACGAGTTTTTTTTTTTAATCTATAAAAATAAACATTTAACACCCACTACTTCTTTGTATTCAACAACGCTACGTATCAGTCTGCCAGTCATTGATTCATACTGTCAGTCAGTTTTCTATTGCAACATCATCATTTACACACTAGTCAGTCATACCAACCAACATACTCTAGTTATTGAGCAATTTTCCGTTTTTTTATTTGTTTTTTTAATCATTTTATTTTAAAATATACCAAATGTCGTTGCTTTAGCTTTCAAAAAGTGCATCTGTTGTAATTTTGAAATGTTTCGTTTATTTTTTTCTAGTTTTTTTTTTCTTAATTCTCAATTGTTGCATGTTATTTTTTTTTTGTTTTTGGTATTTTTACTGCTACAATTTCATTTTATCGTTTTTTTTTTCTTTTTAATTTTTGGTTCGCATTTTAAAATTTCAATTGTTCTGTCAAGGCGTTTCAAATCATTGTTCTATTATATTTCATTCCACTACAATTTTAATTCATTTGATATTGAC